AAGCTCAATAATTTAGGAGATAGAAGGTGAAGAAGAAACCTGTCAAGAAGATGAGATGAGGTGATGTTGAGCACGATTCAGAGCTTGTAACCTCTCAACAATGCCCTTCTAATGGTGGAAGATCTTCTGTATGCACTTGTATGGGAGGAGAATGCTTGTAGTGGATGAAATTCAAAGTTGCTTGAAGTTGAAGAAAGCTCTTTAATGGCAATGTATCTCTCTCTTTCTCCTCTGACTTGACTCTCTATCACCAACCTTGATCACTCTCTGATGCACTCTCTTTATAATGATGGTTAGATGCTTCTAGATTCATCTAGAATGTGGTGGAAGTTTCTTGAAATTCTCATGTGATGACAAGTTGGAAATCTCATCTCCCATGCTTCATGCCTTACCATTTGGTCTTAAAATATCTTTTCATGAGATATTGAGAAGGGATGAGTGAAAAACAAGCTCATCTTTGGCTTGTGTAGGGTTTTTCAACATTGCCTTCTTTTTCAAGTAATAACTTTTCAAAGCATCACCCATTTTAAAGCTCCAAATCAAAATTCTAGCTAAACCAATGTTCTCAAAATGGTTTTTCCAATCAAAATGATATATTGGATGACCTATTTTGGATTTGTGGATCTTCCAAATCACTTTTCAAATTCAACTTTTCAAACTTATAAGCCATTTTTAGTTCATTTTGGACCAATCATGTAATCTCATGCTATGAGCTTTTCCAACAATTTGTGACCTTCTTTCTAGACTTAAAATCACATTTTGAGAAACTTTCATGTTTTGAGTTTTTCCATTTGAGGCTTGGAAATAGGAGTTTTAGGCATTGGCTAAAATGACCTATAACTGACAAATGACCAAAATACCCCTGTCTTGTTCAAATCATAAGTTGAGTTCCACAAATCCAATCAAGGACTTCTACCACTCAAATTAAAGCTAAGAAGATGCTCTTCAACATTCATGTTGACCAAGAAATCATAGGAATCATCCTACTAGGGCAAAAGTTGTCTGCAAGTTGGGTGACTTTCAAGGACCCAGATTCACACACCTCTGCTGACCTGTAATTTGTCAAAACCATAACTTGAGCTCTGTAACTCCTATCAAGGACTTCCACCACTCAAATTAAAGCTAAGAACAAGCTCTACAACATTCATGTTGTGGGGAAGATGAGATATCAATCACATCTAGAGCTAAAACTGCCTGGAAGATAGGGATCAAATTAGGGTTTTTTCACTGACAATCCTTGGAGACCCTAACTTGAAACTTCTCAAACTCCTCAATCATGATGAGTTGGTCCAGGAATCATCTTTATAACATCTCTATGCATCATTCCATGATCTCATGGCCCTTGGATTAGATCTCAACCTTCTCCAAATCTTCAGCTGATCTAGGGTTGACCCAGTCAAAAACCCTAATTCTACCATTCATGGTTGAATCTTCTGAATTCTTGCATAATGACTTCTCTGGGCTTTATGATGGCTATCAAGACATCTCATAGGCTTTCCCAAAACATCAAATTCATTCTCAAAGTCTCAGAATCATCTGAGGGGCACCCATAACTCTCAAGCTATGAAGCACACAACCCTGGTTTCACCCACTTCTTCTGAGGATCTCTTGAACTTTCTGATGAAGATACCAACTTTCAAACACTTAATGAATAAATAAATGTTGGTCAAATTTTGGGGTGCAACACATAGATTATGAGGAAACTTATGCTTCGGTTGCCCGCCTCGAGGCTATATATCTTTTACTAGCTTTTTCTTGCTCTAACGTTTTTCAAACTATTTCAAATTTATGTTGATGATATTATATTTGGTTTTACTAACATAAAATTGGTCAAAGAGTTCTCAAAGTTAATGCATGGCAAGTTTGAAATGAGTTTAATGGGAGAATCGACTTTCTTTCTCGGACTTCAAATTAAGCATCTCAAAGAATGAAAATTTGTGTGTCAATAAAAATGCTTCCAAGAGTTGCTTAAATGATTCGGAATGGAAAATGGAAAGTCAATCGACACTTAAATGCCTAATAACAGGAACTTAGACAAAGATGAAAGTGGTAAGGATGTTGAGTGCATTCTCCATCTCTCATCCTATGAGGTAGTATCGTTTCACTTATCTCTTTGTTCCTAATTTTTTATTTCATGTGTTGCTTATATGTGATTACATGCTTATGTTCCAAAAATGTGTGCTACAATTGATAAATGATACATTTCATGTATGCTCACTTCCAAAAAATTTATTGTTAACCCATGTGTGTTTAAATTTATATGTTTATAGTGATTTTATGTTATTATGTCATTATTATGTGTGTTTAATGCTTTTATATCTTCATATTGGAAGTATTCTTGAAGCTAGTGATGTTTTAGCATGTTATTTTGTTTTGTCCTCTTGTTTTTCTATTTTATCAATGTTATAATATGTGTGTAATGAACTCCTTATAATCTTGAATGAATTTCATGTTTATTTATGTTTAGAAAATCTTCACTTTAACGTCATTCTAATGATATGTGAGTGCACATTATCATTGAACAAATTATCCTTGCAATGCCTCTGAGTGTTATATATATTTTTGTAAGTTTTACATGATGCTTCTCGCATTTTGTGGCATTGTCTCTTTTTTATGTTTTCAAACGGGGAGAAGTTCATGCATGAAAAAAGTCTAAGGGTGCACATATTCAGGGGAAGCTATGATCAAGACGTCAAATACTTGGCATCTATGATCAAGACATCAATTACTTAGTACATTTTTCCATCATAAAAAAAAGGGGGGAGTATGTGAATGCATTATCCTTTTAGAAAATATTTTGGATGATGGCAAAACTAGGATACTTAGTATTTGTGTATATTAGATCTTATTCTCTATGTCTAGATGTGTATTTTCATGTTAGGGCACTTAAAATCATGTCAGATAGGTTTTTACAATTCAAAATTATGGTTTTACATGAAAAATAAGGTTATGGGTCGATACGCCCATGTTATAGGTCAATACTCAGCGAAGGCCTTTTGAAATAAAAGTTATTTTCCTTTATGTATCAATACATAACATCTAGGAGTCAATACATAACATTTTGGAGTCAATACGTAAGATTTTGGAGTCAATACATACTGCACATATTTTGCTTCTGTTCAGTATGTATCAACACGTAAAGTTTTGAAGTCAATACATAGATAATATGTGTCAAAACATAAGATTTGGGAGTCAATACATACTACAAAGATTTTTCCTCTGTTCAGTATGTATCAATACATAAAGTTTTGAAGTCAATACATAGACAGTGTGTATCAATACATAAGATTTTGGAGTCAATACACATTGCTTTAATTTTTTTCAAACTTGTGATTTTATTACAAATCTTTTTTTTTTGGTTATTTCTTTCTTACACTCATATATATATATATATATATATATATATATATATATATATATATATATATATATATATATATATATATATATATATATATATATATATATATATATATATATATATATATATATATATATATATATATATATATATATATATATATATATATATATATATATATATATATATATATATATATATATATATATATATATATATATATATATATATATATATATATATATATATATATATATATATATATATATATATATATATATATATATATATATATATATATATATATATATATATATATATATATATATATATATATATATATATATATATATATATATATATATATATATATATATATATATATATATATATATATATATATATATATATATATATATATATATATATATATGCATTCATGCATTATTTTTCAACATTGAAATCAAGAACAAGTAGAGATTTTTCTCATCATCTTCAATCTTTTCTCTTCACACATTCAACAATTACACATAATCATTTTTGTTGAGTGTCATCTAGATTAGATTGATAAGGCCCAATTTAGGATTCTTGTAATCAAATTGGGTTTAGTATTCTTTGGGGGTTTCATTGATAAACCAGGTTAGGATTTTTCCTATAAGATCAAGGATTTATTTGAGGGTTTTTGTATAAGATTTTGCAACGAGGATTCATCCGAGTTAAAGCTTTGAAAAACGGGGTTTTATCAAAGAAGTAGTAGTAACCGGAGGATCGACTTGGAAGTCTTGGGTCACTTGATCTTGCTTAAGATCAAGGAGAAATAAGAAGTTAGAATCAATATCAAATATAGAGTTTGGGGGTTTGGATTGCTACTTTTTATTTTACATACAACTCTTGCAAAGGTTAACTACATATCTCAATTCTATTTAGATTTGGGGGCAGACGAATCCATATTGAGGATAATTGGGGAACTTCCTAAATAAATATTAGTGTTCTCTCTCTCTCTCTCTCTCTCTCTCTCTCTCTCTCTCTCTATATATATATATATATATATATATATATATATATATATATATATATATATATATATATATATATATATATATATATATATATATATATATATATATATATATATATATATATATATATATATATATATATATATATATATATATATATATATATATATATATATATATATATATATATATATATATATATATATATATATATATATATATATATACTAGAAACTCTTTAAATTAATAATGTCAGGACCGGAGAAATTTATTAATTTAGAGAGTTATTAATTTATCGATAAATTTTATAATTATTAATTTAAAGAGTTTTCAAGTAATTATACTGTACATACCAAACAAAAAGGCAAATTAGTCTATGCCTCTTAGAATTACGTTGCAGTGAACCTTGGGACTCAACGTAAATTAGTAACTACTGTGTTCATATGCATTGGAAATCAATAATGACTTTTTGAAGTACAGTAAATGTAAACAAGAGGAACAAATGTGTTCAATGTATTCTTAAGCAAGTTTTCCATATATAAACTACATGAATGTGTTAGAGTATTCAAACCATATTTCACAAAACGGCTTCTCATCTAAAAGGTGTTGTAAAATCAACTATGTCAGATCAAATACGTAAGGAGTTGTGTGAGTACAAGAGAGATAATCCTGCAAGCACACAAAAAGACTTGCAGAGATGGCTTGAGGGAAAGTTTCAGTTGAATGTTAGTCAAGGAACAATATCAAACACACTTAAACGGTCAAATGACTATCTCTCTGCTGAAATAGAAAAGGGAAGAGCAGAGATCAAAAGACACAAACCAGCAAAATATCCTGACATGGAGAAGGTTATTTATGAGTGATTTCTCCAGCATCAAGAACGTGTGAATATCACAGGAGAATTAATTTTGCAGAAGGCAAGAGATACAATGAAACTCGTGTACCCTCATGATGATTCAGATTTTAACTTCTCCATAGGATGGCTTGGGAAGTTCAAGAACCGACATGGCATAAATTCATTTCGTCGTTTTGGAGAGAGTGGGTCTATTGATGTACAAGACATGGAGCAAAAATTGGTATCGATTCGGGAGAAAATTGATCAGTTCTCTATGAAAGATGTTTTCAATATGGATGAAACTAGGTTCTTTTATAGCTATAAGCTGATCATTCACTGGCAAGAAAACAACTTGAAGGAAGAAAACAAGATAAAGAAAGGTTGACGGTAGTTATTTGTTGCAATGAAGATGGCTTTGAAAAAATCCCTCTATGGATTACTGGGAGATATGCAAAGCCTCATTGCTTCAAGAATGTCAACATGAATAGCTTGGATTGCCAGTATTGAGCTAACAAAAAAGCATGGATGACTAGTGTACTTTTTGATGAATATGTTCGTTCATTTGACCAAATGATGCATGGTAAAAGAGTTCTACTTGTGGTGGATAATTGTCCAGCACATCCAAGAAATATTGAAGGGCTAGGAAACGTTGAGTTATTCTTCTTGCCACCCAACATGACATCAAAGATTCAACCTTGCGATGTTGGGATAATAAGAGCTTTCAAGATGCATTATCGTAGAAGGTTTTACCGCAAAATATTGGAAGGTTATGAGGTGGGACAATCTGATCCAGGGAAGATAAATGTCCTTGATGCTATCAATTTGGCAATCCCCGCTTGGATGATAGATGTTCGAAAAGAAACAATAGTGAATTGCTTCCGACACTGTAAAATTCATTCAGCTAGTGACGTTGCAAGAAATTTGGATGAATCCACTTTTGATGAAGAAACTCAAGACCTCGAGACTATGATCAATCAATGTGGCTATCTTAATAAGATGGATATCGACAATCTAACGAACTACCCAGGTGAAAATGAAGCATGTTCGGAGGTTCAGAGTTTAGAAGATATTGTGGGTACTATCATTGAGAACAATGCAGAGGATGACGGTGAAGATGATACGGTGTCTTTGGATCCTGTTACGCGAAAGGAAACACTTATGGCGTCGAACAATCTTCACAACTTTATGATACAATACAAAAATACAACACATGAGCTATTGGATGCAATAAGAAAAGTTAGAGATGAGCTCCAAATAGACTTGAACTTTAAAGGAAAACAGACAACTATTGAATCATATTTCAATACAGTGTAATATATTTTTTTTAGTTTCTATGAATTATTAATTTATGATTTTCTTGGGACCGAAAATTATAAAGGGATCTCCCGAGAAATTATCATCTTATTATTTTATCAAGTTTTTCAATTTTTTACATTGGCCCAAATCGGGACCGGACAAATTTATTATTTTAGAGAGTTTATTAATTTACCGAGTATTAATTTAAAGAGTTTCTACTGTATCTACAATTTGATAATACACTCCGTGTGCAATTTGATTGAAAATTTTGTTTGTGTAGATGTAATTCAAACTGTTTTGTAAAGATAATTGCAATATAAACAATTGCAATTGGTTGTTTGTGTCTTCAACATAAAGGAAAATCAGCTTGTTGTTTATGGAATACCAAGTACTCGATAAATTATCTTAGCTAACTTTTTATTTCCAATTTCATTGGAAATTGATTACATAATTGTCGCTACTCGAAAAATGCAACGATGGGAAGGCGAGAATGAAAGACAGAAGAGTTGTCATCGAACTTTATTTATCCCATGAGGGGAAGGGAAAACGTCGAGAAAACCCCAAGAAAGAAACGGATAAGATGGTCTCGCAACCAAGAACGGGCTCGGAAGCCAGTTATGCAAAGGGAAGGTATTAACACCCCTCGCATCCATCGTACTCGATGGGAACCATTTGTTTTCTTATGTGTGATGATATTTGCTAAAGGTTATTGCTTTCTAAGAGTGTTCCAAGGGAGATAGAAGGGTTAGAAACAGGGAAAGGAGATAAAGGGGGGAGAAAAGACTCGGTAGGACTTCACGGTCCTAGGCCTACGTATTCTCAACAGATATGGGAAAGTCAGAGTCCACGTAGTTCGAGAAACTACAGGTGAAAGATGGAAGAGTGTGCTCGGCAAGGATTGGGGCTCTCGTGCCTACGTATCTTTACTTAAAAGAAGTAAAGAATCAGAGCAGCCGTAGTTTAGCCTACTACGGGTAAAGGAAAAAAAGGGTGCTCGCCAAGACATCGCCATCTTGTGCCTACGTATTCTCATCTGCCATGAGAAATCAGAGCAACAAAGTTCGTGAAACTTGTTAACTGGTGTTTTATGGATGATGCTATCATACACATTCTAGAAGTTTAGGTGTATTGTTGCTTGCTCGTTGGAGACTTAAGCGTTACCTGTTTGTGGTAGAATGGACGTAACATATCCTTTTTGAAAATATTAATTTTCTCCTTTCAAGGCAAGATGTCACGTTTGATTTGTGAGAGTTATTTTTTAGGGGTGAAATAGGTCCTCGGATAGTAACGCTAAACCATCGTAGCTCGACTTATGATGAAATTCAAACTATAGGAGGTCGCGTAAATTGATATCCGTGCAAAAGACAAGATAGAGAAATGATATTGAGGATCATTCTCTGATTTAATCGTGTCGCACGGACCAAAAGAGGTGGGATCTCGTCTTAATCGCAAACATTATGTCGATTAATAGAAGGTAGCCTATCACGATCCCAAAGTAAAGAAAATGACCCAAATGGTCATTTTCCATAGATTTGAAATTGAGAAGGTTATCGACTTTGAGAAAACGGTGCTTATGAATTGAAAGACTTCATGGATCGAGAAAATTAAATGAAAATAAAAAAGTGAAGAAGAAATAAGGAGAGAAAAGAAGGTGGTCTCGGATCCATCATTATTTATCAATAGTTTGACTAGTAACGATTTTTCAGAGGTCTCGTCATCGACCAAAGAAAATTAATAAAAATGAATAAAAATCGAAAATGAAAAGTTGTAAAGAAAATTGGTCTCGGACTTGTTGCTATTCGTCAATAATTTGACAAACTTCAACTTGGAAGTCTCTTCAATGACCCAAACGGAAAAATACGAAAATAAATCCTCAATGATAAATAAAAAATGCTAAAATCTATCTTTTAGAAAAAAATGTATTAAAACTCTAAAAAAACTAATTTTAGAAGAAAAAAAAATATAACTTTAAAACTTAGTTGGAATAACCTAAAAAAGAAACTAATTTAACTAATATATTAACAAATCTTTAAAAAACTAATTATAGAATATATTAAAACTGGTTTTATAAAATACATTAACAATTCTTAACAACTAATTATAAAATATATTCATATTAAAATTACTATTTTGTAAAAAAAACTTATAAAAAAACTCTAAAAAAATAAAAAATAAAATGTCACAAAGGAGGGTGAGTTAGATCTGGGGTGAGTGTGCGAAGGCGAAACGGGCTTTAAGTCCTGATAGACCTAAAATATACTGTTTATTTGACTCGATTCGCACGTGTTATTTAGGATTTTATCATTGTCTTCTTGTATTATGCCTCCGTTTTGTCTCTTTTTCAGGATTTTATATTTTCAGAGCTACTCAAGAAGAAATGAAGAAAAACAAGCAAAAAGACCAGCTTTTCTGGAAATTGTACACATGGTACTCATCATGGCGGGCGCCATAAGAGAAGCCATGACTTGAATAAGAGACCAACTTCTGACAACTGCCACGTCTCCCACTTCTTTCCACTCTAGTACACATGGCGGGCACCACCCTTGTATTCTATTTTCCCTCCCAAAAGAAGTTGGGGGCATTCTAGTCTTTCCCTGTACTTTCCTAGCATTATAAATAGAAGAGTTCTCCCTCATTTCTAAGCATCCAAGCTTAGTTACAGAACTCAAGCCATAAATTTTCATCTTTGGTAGAAGTTAATACTTCTGCCATTTTATTTCAGTCTTTTACTTCAAGTTGTACCAAGATTTAAAACCTCCCGTTTGGAGCAGGTTTCTATTTATTTTTCGCTTTTACTTATCCGTATTTATTTCCTGCACTTTATTTCCTACAATTTATTTACTCGGAATTTATTTACCGCCCTTATTTATCGAACTTTATTTACCATGTCTATTTACGTTTCCATGTCCAGCTAAATCTTAGAGGTTAGGATGTGAGGATCATATTTAAAAATGGTATTCCATACGGCTGTCGGTAGAATCACTTAGGATTTATTCTGGCTTTTAATACATCTTTTCTGCATTTAAAATTTGTTGGGTAAGATCGAAAGTCATCCAACCTTTAGATAAATTTGGTTAGTCTTAACTATTCAAAGGAAGCGAAAGCGCTTAGTCCAATTAAGCAGGAATATTTAATGCTTTAGAAAAACGATTTTAAGACTATTTTCGGACGCGTTTATGGATTTAAATCCGGTTCGCAAGAACCTCTTTTTGTTAGAAATTCCAGGTCAAAATACTTTTCAACCAAGTCAAGAAACTATATTTCTTAAAAATAGGTTTAACCACTCTAACGCAATGCGTGTCTTTTTATAAGTGACAATAAGAGGGATCAATTATGGGATAAACTCGGTTCTGAATACGCGAAAGCGACAGTTCCCGTTAAATTAGTTCTTTTCATGAGTGGAAAACATTACCCCTTAAGAAGTCTATTTGCACGCATTTAGAATACTCTCTAGCTATGTGAATTACATCCAAGCCTGGTGTTTTATTATTGAATTTATTCTCGCACTTTACTTTTATTTCGCACAACCCAATTCCAAATTGACTTACCTTAGATAAACATCGTAACAACAGTAATCGGTAGATTGACGTTTGGTGTCTGTGGGATCGATAATCTTTTATATTACTCTGAAGCTACTCGTGCACTTGCAAATCACAGCATCAAGCCCAACACAAAATCAAACAGAATCATTTAAAAAAATAAAACTAAAACAAAATGGCCATTTCATCCTCA